ATAGACTTTCCCTGACCGTCAAGTGATGCTGAGTCACAAGACAACATCTCCGACAACTAAACACTTTGTGTGAACTATCCGCTTTTAGTCTGGTGTTTTCTGAAATGCTGTCCGGACGTTCTCTTTAGATATCACGAGGCCATATGTTAAAACCTTAATAACCCCAAAGGGTAGACTATATTATAAAAGCCATTTTTCACTATGGGTTTCCATGAGCGCGCTCAGGCCTACACTGAAGCGAAAATGTCACTGCACATGAAAGGATAGTACATAATGTCATGCACATGACACGAATAATGCATTTAAAGATGAAACCTTTATCGCTGACATAGAACGACATAGGAGGTTCAGTTGGGTAAAACTGATACCTCTCTTCAGGAAAACTGATAGCGGCTTCTCGAGTTTTGTAAATTATTCCTCGGCTTTGGTTGCGCGAGTGATCATACATCATACAAATTGACAAGTGTTGTGCGGATGTTGATTTGTTTGAAATGAGATTTAAAAAAAAAAAAAAAACAGCCGACCTTGGGGATCCCGGAGGCATCACGCTATTACTGATTTCAACTCTCCCGGCAGAAATCTGAACAGATTGCGCTCACATTCAAATGGTCTTAACGGTTCAGTGAACTGCGACGCTGTTATCCTGATGGTTTTTCGCTTCTCGGTTTTTTCCAGGCGCGAGTTTGCAGCAATTTCTGACAACCCGCGAATAGATCCGATCAGCGGTCATGTGATTTATATGCTGATTCCCACAGTTTGATGAAAGTCTCTGCTCCGGCGTTGAGGTATATTGATCCGCCGGAACAGCAGTTTCGACGGTGCGTGAATTATCTGTGAATTATACGAAGTGTGTGGTCTGAATTGGAGAAGATGTTTCGAACAATAGCATGAAGTACACATGAATAGTAAACTGCTGAGTCAATTTAAAAAAGCGTCTTCTCCAGCCTAGCTATCGGGTTATCGCAAAGTTGAACATTTTAAAGATCGAAGAATTATGCACCGTTCCCTTGCCATTTCATTGTAAAATAGACACATTTTTATTATTCACGCTCACACAGCGGTTTTGGTGTTCGATTTTGTGATAGGGATAAACAAAAAGGGACAAGAATGTTCGCCATCAAAAGTCTCGATTTGGCTGCTAATTTGAAATTCCAACTATTTTATTGCATCATATGCTTAATGCAGTCGTTCCAAGCGTTAGCCAATCTAGCAAGAGAGGAAGAAGAGCCTGAAAACGGTACAAAGATTTTCAGCACATATAAACCGACGGCAGAGATTTTGGAAAGAATGCTGCAACCCGATGCTACTTTGAACAGCGGTCGTGTACAAAGTCTATGGAGAATCAAGAAAAGTTTCTAAGTACTTCGTAACAAAATTGGACATGTTTCTCAGTCCAAGAGTCATGTCTTATCATCATTTTTGCAATGACTGACCTTCATTGAGATGATATTTGAAGTAAAAAGCAGCGTCAAGTTGCAACATTCTTTCCGAGAATTTCTTGTCAAATGGGGAATGGGGCAAGTGTCAATATAGGGGAAATTCTGTTCTCTTTCATTTTCCTCCTTTTATTTAAGTGTGTTGTTAAGCACTCGGTGGCATGGCTAATTTTGGCGTTGCCTAGTGTATATAATGGATGGACGGTTTCAATATTACTTTCTGATTTAGGCCTATTACAACATCTTCAATAACTATTTATAACTATTTGATTTGAAGACTTTTCATGCTATTGTCGTCACTTCCATTGCCATATCGATCATTATAGCAGTTCTGTGCTCCCAATGTTCTGTGCTCCTAATGTTAAATATATGCCAAATAAAGTTTCTGTAGCCGAGTATTATGTATCCAAGCTTTGGGCATAAGTTTTAATCTAAATCCATTGGGTGTTCATTTATTTATGCCATTTATTTGTTGGGGGTCGTGCAGAACACTTACAGAAGCGTCTGGCATATCGACATACAGCCACGTTGCCTTGTCTCGTCAACGTCATGCACAATGTAGCCCGTTTATTAAAAAGAAGGTCAATTTAGACGCAGCATTTAACCACCAAGTAAAACCGGGTTTTTTTTATTCTGTTTTCCGTTCCACTACATGTACCAACAAGCCTGAAATTACACGCATGCCAATAAAATAAACTACTTTCGGTCGTGACTTTACGCTCACTTGCTCCGGGAGAACATCGGAGTGTTCTTACCCACTAACCAAACACTCGCCTGGAAATGACCGATCGCCGTGTGTGTCCACACCGCCGCTAGACTGAGGTACCAACGCCGAAAGCTAACCATTAGCGGACGCAAACCGTTGCGCCACGCCGTGCCCTTCCGGCAAACGAATTAGCGGTCACGTCCGCAACCGATCCGTGCTCGGACTTCATGATTCTTTTTATTGTCCTGCCATCCTTAATGACGCTGTCTGGGTTTTTTTTCTGCGCGGAAGTACTCCGTGCATCATTGCGCTCTTTGGCGGAATTTAAAAAAAACAACCTATTGCCATTACGGTAATATTCGCGTTTGGCGGATTAATTAAATTATGATACTTTGGTCGGTGTCATTTTTCACCGCGCTCTGTCGTTGACATCCTGGCGGACGTGACATGCGATCCACGCACAAGCCGCGCCCACGGCTTTTTCTTAGTCAAAGTGCATTATGTATCGGAGCGTAATGTCATTATCAGTCACTGTCGTAATTATATTAATGTGATTGCTCTTGACATAAGCAATCTTGATCAAGGCCTTCTTTGCCGATTAGCGGAGCGGTGGTGCAAAAAAACGTGACTAGGAAATTGGCCTTCTTGGTAACGTCTGAAAAAAGTTCATCACATTTCACATTATTGCATCCTGTTCAAGGATGGTGCGATAGGGGGAAAATGGACACCATCTGAAATTATTTAAAGAGCCTGCCATGATTCGGAACGGATTCACACCGTCTTCTTGGAATGGAGCATATAAAGATGTTTTGTTGTTTTATTATAAATGCTGTGTGCTTAGTCATTCAAAATCTCTTTTATTTACTCAACTTTATAATAAACCCCCACAACCGTGATACTTTAGACCTTTCGGCTAAAAATGAGTATCAGATGGCAAATGATAAAGCAAGACGTTTGGATAAGGAAACATCTCAGAATATTACAAATTAAATGTGGCATTTCGTAAAACATTTTGCTCAGTTAGAGTTAGACTTGTTATTTGTGTTGATCTGCTATTGGGGCATAATTTAAATCATCTACAACAGAATGCGTCCCTCAATGCAAGAAATACGTAAGCGCTGTTGTTGTGGACGAACGAGTGCCCATCTTTACGTTCACGGTACACTATGCAGAGGGCGCACTTCAGTTATCCCGACTAGATGACGACAGTTTGTCTGCACACAAGTTGAGGGCGCCATTGCAAGATCTCCAAGCTCCTTTCCTTTATTTTTTTTCGGACAGAAAATCTGGAGTTATATTTTGAATCTTTAAACCAGATCATAAGAATCCTTTCTCACACAAGATATGACTTTTTACAATGTTCTTGTCACACACCAGAAAAAAAAGAATTAATTTGATAAAGATGATTAGTGAGTTTAAAAGTGAGGATATCAGGTGGTAGTTTAACGGATTAACGTGATATCAAGATTCATCGCATTAGGTGCGCTGTGATTGTCAACTAAACTTTATATCATAAACATGGCTCTTCCAGATAATAATTATGGGTCCGAATGGCAATACGAAATGTCACTGTTTGCATATGTGCTAGCGCTACAACCACATCCTGACGTCTCTCCTGATGATGATTAAGGCACACTGATCAAAACGTCGATTTAACTCCCCTTGCTCATTGCAGGAGCATCTTTCTGTTTTAGAGGTGGTAACTTCGCAATGTATGTCCGTAAATTTCTCCTAACATCTTACACTTTTGCCGCTTTAGGTCTCCGGAACAAAATGACCCGGACAATGGCCTAGATAAGTGTCATTTTGACCCGTTAATATATCGATTTAACACCTTTTGTTCATAGCAGATCAAACACCAATGCTTTGCAATGTGTATCCGTAAATGTCTCCCACATTTTACACTTTTTCCAATGTTTCCAGGAAAAGCGACCCGGAAAATGACCAAGACAAGTGTCATTTTGACCAGAACAAGTGTTATTTCGAACCTGAAAAGCATTAGATCAAATCTGACCCGGGATTTTAAGAGTGTTCACTTCACTGTGCAAAACCTTCAATCGCATTCATTACCAAACTTCTAGAAACCAATGAGCCTCATGCAGTACCTGACTGTCACAATGTTGACTGAAAAATATCAGTCTGATTCTCACGTTTAATTGTAACATTGTTATCAAACTCCGTCTGAGCAGACGAGTGGTTTTCCCCCACTTTTGTGGAGAAGTGTCTTGTGGAGATGTGTCTCAGAGAAGTCGATAATAAGTGGTTGTACCAAAATGTGTCATAAAGCTTATTTTGAAACATAAGATTTTCCTTTCGGTTACCAGCATTCACCTGTTCTTTAATAAGATATGAGATAAGAGTGAACGTCCACAAAGTTTTCCTCTGTGATTAGGAAAAAAGGACCATGTTCAAGAAGAAACGGGGGAAAAGACATTGTCTTTGTAATTGTTCCATGTGGTCTCTTGTTCCATCTTATAGTTTGGCCACAGTGGGGGTCAGCCTACAGTCCTATCTCGCTGACTGACTGACTCACTAACTGTCACTTCTGAATTAGACTTGCTTTAAAAGTCACATCTTGGCCACTAGTTTTGAAACAGCATTACTCCGTAAGGCATACGAAGGGGCTCAAACAAGCCACCTGCTTGAAAGACGTCCAGTGAATAGCCATTTGAACCGGTTGATTACAAAATTATCTGTTTGCTCTTGAGCCAGCCTAACTAGGTTGCCTGGTCTTATTCAATAGAACAATAGTATCATCTTGTTTTTTCACTGAGCTTTATTCTGATGACATAATTATTCGCAATCGTTATTTGCCAAAAGACAAGATATCAAGTATGGCAGTCTTATCTGAAATCAATGCGTCCAAAAATCATTATAAACCAGTACCGGGATCGTGGCTGAGCTGTTGAGCTGCAGTGTTCAGGATAAAGGAGAAGGTTCGGGTTCAGAGAGTAAATCCAAATGTAAGTAAAACTTTGGCTCTATTTTAGCATTGTTAATGCGGTCGAATAGACAGATGAACATGCTAGCTTGATATTCTTCAAAAGGCATTCTTCAAATTTTAAAACGTAAATCAAGAGCATTTCAGGCCTAACAGTAAATACTAAAATATTGAACCTTTGGCTGAAACACCAATCTGGATTCTGCTCTTCATATAAGGAAACGATTTCGAAGAGTTTTAAGCAGTACGTTTGTTTTCCAACTTGTTTCTGTACAATATTATTCAGAACCTTCTAAAACTTTTGGTACGAATATATAACATGTTTCCATCGTGATTTTCTTCTGTAGTTATTTATTTATATAGATATATAGGGCGACCGCTCCATAGACCTAACCCAATTTTACCTCATCCGACCCGAACACATTTTGGTATTTTTATGTTTGGAATTGAGCCAATTTGCGAAAAACCAATCCTTTGGCTATCTAGTACTTTTGCGTTATGACGACCGGCAAAAGGTCGTCGTAAAGACGGTGGTCGCCCTAATGCCACAAAAGTAAGCACAACCGGTCGTCGTTTTAGTTAATAAGTGTATATATACATCATATTCTGAAAATATTGCATATTACATATACATCATTGTATTTTTTTTTTTACATCGTAAGTGCTTTGAGGAAATGTGTTTGCAAAAAGGTTAACATGTGGGATTACAGAGAACGCGCATAAAGTAATGTTTCCAATTCTTATTTTAAATTTCCTGACTTTTTTCCCGAGGATGAGCCTTTCATATCAAAAAATTACTAACTTTAAATGGTAAAGTAGACGATGACAAGCTAATTCATACTACTTTAACCAATTTCGAAGGAACAATAATTATTTTCCTTGAAATTTCTGTTTGTACCATGCAGAGAGACCAACATGAAGGCCGTGACAGTACTTTTGCTCTTGACAACTGTTATTGCCGTGCATGTGGGCAGTGCTGACGCTGGTAGGTTTTAAATCACTGGGTTTTTTAGGTTTTCGTATACAGTATATGATACGAACTGTTAAGTTGTGTTACGGGTGACAAACCAACTTTTGGAATCTGACTAATTTTAGTTTTTGGAAATATTATTTATAAGCAGTCATGTCACCGAGATACTTTGCATTTTTATAAAATTATTTTGATGTGTCCCGTGTAAGGTCTTTACTATCATATGCCTGTAGATACCTGAAAGATATTGGTAGACTACATATAAATGTTTTTTACATGAAAACATTTCTAACAAATACCAAGATATGCGATTGTACATTTTTTTTGGAGAGTGGTATAATTTAAAACGCCGAAGCTACGGTGGAGCCGTGGGGACATGCCCCCATAAAAAAACCCAAAACAATCGTCCCCCCCCCCAGTTTTCCCCCATTGGAAATTTGGAATCTGGAGAATGGCACACCATGATTAGCGGGTTTAAAATGAAATGCGTTTTTTCCAAGTTTGTTGTTAATTTTTACGAAAACCGTTTGCCCCTCGCGATTGGCTGCTTATTTTAACGTCCCGTGGAAAGCGAATAGCGCCACCTATAGTCTGACATCCCCCCACTTTTGATTTTACGGAGACCGGGTGTCTGGTGAAAAACACCTGTCTATACCTTTTAGCATGGATGAAATTGGGCGCCCCTCCACTATAACATCCAGCCCCCACTCGCCCCCCCCCCCCACGCCCCCCCCCCCCCCCCCCCCCCCCCGGATGAGAGCCTTGGCTACGCCGCTGAGCTGAGTAGGCCCACATAATTATAGTCTTACACAGAGTGGGAAAGGGAGAGGTATGAATAGACTGTTGTGCACTTTCCCCAATGACATTTGTTTTCTCCCCCACGTGTTTTAGGGGCATGCAATAGCTGCTCATGCCTGAACGTTTCCCGCACTGAGCACTGCGTCCATGGCTACTGCCGCATGAGCAGAGGTACTGCCATCTGCATCTGCGACATCGGGTACCAGGGAAATCGATGCCAAGACCCAGTCTTCCGCGGGTAAACAACATGCATAATTATATCGACAGCGCGGGGGAGAACAAATAAATAAAAGGTATGTCGATTTGGAGGCATGTTGTGGGGGAGTGACACTCGAATGTGTTGTGTTTGTCGGCAAAATCTCTTTCGCGGTTTTGTAACAAAAGAGGCACATACGGATCTCATTTGCTTGGGTTTAGACGCACAGATTCAAAACATCCAGCTCTTTTCGTTCTTTGGATCGTGAGTGGAGGACACAGATGGGGCACATTTCTGAGTCTCCTGTCAGGTAGTTGCCCCCATCTGTATGCACCATTGCCAGCACACGCGCGCTGTCACTGTATACTTACGTAGGCCCCCTTCAATGGCGAAATCACTGTGCCAGGTACTGGTCAGAAAATCCCTCACTGGGAAGTTGCTTGTATACAGAAGTAGGCACAATACTGCTTTGGCCATTGATTGGGGACTCCATAAACGTAGGGCGATAGCGTGCTTAGATTGGCAAAACAAGCTTCCGTGAACAGCGCCACCTCGTGCCATTTGTATCCAGTCACTTTCACCTAAACATCGCCCCAGGTGTCAGAAGATGTTCAGTCTGCCAGTCCCTCTTATTTATCATGTACCGAATGCGGGCCCAGTTTGTTGACGTGCGTTTACATGCTTCCTCAATTCCAAATACATTTTGCAATCTTTAACTTGTAGATTTAAGTACAGCTGCTTAATTGCTTATTAAATAAATGTGTTATTTAAACTGTTTGTCCAGCGCTCGATATGGCCTATTGCAAAACACGCAGGCTTGGATTCGTTGGTTGGTTGAACTGGTGCGACAATGTCAAGCACGCAACACTGGAGTTTGGCTAACTCTTTCCATTAATAAACATGGACTCAGTTTACAGCTTCCTGCTTACATAAAAGAATCCATTGCTCTTGTCTTTAGTAGCAAACTATCAAGGTGAACTTGAATTATCACAATTGTACTTGCATCCAAAAAAAGGTTTGAAAGCATCCCCAAAAGGATACAATTTCAAATTTACATTCAATCGTTTTACAACATTCATCGTAAAAGCATGATTTCTAATTCGGGGACCCTTCAATATTTCTTTTTAAAAAATGTCAAATTTTTGTATTAGATTTGTTTTTCTTTGTTGCAGATCGACCCTATAGTGATCCATGCAACAACAGTACTCCACCGCCAACGAGCATCGTGTGCCGAAGAACCCTAGAAGAACAACTATCGGTGTCGTCTACTTAAATAAACTATTTTGGAAGCTATATTCTGTACACTGGGGCACAAGTTAACAATCACTTAAAATTTAATTGACCATAATTATTTCCCTCAAAATGAACGTGTTTGCAAACATCACGCACGAATAAATGCGTCGTGATTTTAAAGTTTAGCCATAGTTGACGGCATCATTTCTCAGTAAACGAAAAGTATAACCATTGAATTTGATTGAAATAGAAATGAAGTAAAATTAAAACTTACTTGTAAACAAAAAAAAATCAGCTTATAAGAAGTTGAGTGTTTTTTACGCCAAGCGCGCCTGAATCGTACACTGAAGGTTTATTGAAATTTAGAGACAGGATTAATTTATCAACATACGGATATTTAAAAAGTTGGAATACATCAGGTGATTCGATTACAAATCCTGCGTTTGCTTTTCAGCTCTCTATAAGTGTGTTGTATGATAGTATACATTACAGGCGTTTGTGTAAAGAATGAAAGAATTATGCGATTAATTGCTTATCACATGTGTTTTTAAAAGTACTATAATGTTTCCTTGATTTAACTTCAACCTGATTAAAAGCTTAGCAGCTGATATCGTGTGTAGATAAGAGTGTCATTTGGGTTATTTTGATGGGGTTGTTCAACTTATCACAAAAAAGGCAACCATTGTCCTGATTTCTGGACACAAGATGACTATGTAACGTAAAGTAATGCACGCATTCTTTATCTTCAAACTGTGTAGATGTGCACGAATCGGCCTTTAAACGTAAATAGGTTCTTTGTTCTGAGAAAGTTTGTTATCGAAACTCTCAAAGACTCTGCCTCGCAACCCCAAAGGCGCCATCTATAGTCATGGGCGTCGCCAGGATTTTTTCTAGAGGGGGGCAAAACATATTTTTCCCCAAAAATTCTTGTATTTCGGAACAAATTCTCGATTTCTCAGTTTAAGACGGGGGCAGAAACATTCCCCCCCCCCCCCCCCCCCCCACTCATTAAATTTACACCAGTATGACTTCGCGCCTCTTTTTCTGTTCTTTTTTTCTCTTTTTTTCTTCCCTTTTTTTTTTTTTTTTTTTTTTTTGCTTTTCCGGGGGGGGGGGGGGGGGGAGCGCCCCCCTTCCCCCCCTCGCGACGCCCATGTCTATAGTTAGGCCGTGTCCGAAAAGGGCTTCCAGAGCTATGGCTATAGGCCTACGTCTATTGTCAGTTCCTTCCCGCGTATTTTCAATGGGCGCAGACCTAGACCTAGCTCTAGACCGCTGATTCGGATGCAGCCTTAGTTAGCTGCACGAGCGCCGGATTTCTTTATAGCGCCCTCACTAGTCGATCTCCCTGTCCAATAATGTTGCTTTGATCAGTAGACCACGTCTGCTTCCAATTGTGTTGCCATCTAGCAGTAGGCCTATCACAAAGCGTAAACATCGGACTGACCTGTGGGAAAATGTCAGAATATGTTCTGCAACAGACATACATTACTTCTTTAGCTAGCAAGCAATAGTAACTGGAATTGTAATGAAATTTACAGGTTTTTTTTTTAAACGTGGAGCATTATTTCCAACTTAATGCAGGCCCCGGACTCCAGATCCACACATCGTGCCCTACGAGCCCTGAGTCATTGACAAGAAATTAATGGACATCTTGAGTTTGATCCAGGGCCCCCAGGGAGAACAGCTCTTAGACAACAGGGGCTGCCAGCTCTTAGACAACAGGGGCTGCCCTGGTATAATAAAACGATAAATTAAACAAAAAAATCATAATGTCGAAACGATACGATTCCCCAACCGCCCCCTCTCCGCCGTGTCTAAACCTAAAGAGGGCGCTATACCACGGAACACGTCATGTCACCGCCGTGTTCGAAAGAGGGCGGTTTACAGTGGGACATCACATCATTTTGAAAAACAACATTATGAATTGCTGCAACCCTAAATGCAGTCCACACGAGAGTGCAGGAGCCGCATTCTCAGCTTTGTAAATGTAAAGGGCTGCTCAGACTTTAAAAAAAAATCCGTTTGTTTCAGTTTAACTTCAATTTCAAAAATTTCATCTGATTTTGAACGGTTGAGATAGATTTTAAAGAGAGGCATGTACTTGCAAAGTTTGGCACCTAGTATTGGTTTATATGTAAGCATAGTAAGTGTTTGGATTGCGGCATGACTTTCATAATCACATTGTGATTCCGTGTAAATTGGTTTGGGGAAGCACTGTGTAACAGTCTCTAAAATAGACAAAGCAATTCCCACATGAAACAAGAAGTTGTGTCAACATTAACTAGCGAGCTCTAAAAAAGGCAGATATAACTGTAGATGGTGGAGAGCAGTTATGCTTAAGTAGGCAATTATAGCTTTTCCAATAGTCCACGGCTAGCTTCATGGTCAGTAATATATGTGGCTTAATCCATGAAGATTAGGATTTAATTTCCCTGTGCGATGGATTGTCATTACCGCTTAGTATCCTCTCAGTCCTCGCACAGAAAATCGTCTGGGTTTCTCATCAAAAACCACTCACTTGTCTCCGCGAGCGGCCGTGAAAATAGCCTTATCACGACAGTGTTCATCATGTCTAATTGCGGTCACTCGAGACCAAATGAAGTTTGCGTTTTAATCCAATTAGTTCATCCATTAATTGGCTGTAATCTGGAGGTGATGACGCGTATACAGATCTCTCTTACCTTCGGAAATACTCAGATCCTAGCTAAACTCGGCCCTTGGTCAGCTGATTAGTGCCACTGTGCCATAAGCCACCTGTGTCAGGCGGTGTTTTGCCTGTGATCACTGCACGCAAGAGATAATTTCTCTAATATCAAATTGTCGGGCCTTTAGTCTTGTCTTTGCATGACCGGCAATTTGTATTATAAAAGCCGAGCGGGGGATTTATGCATATTAGATAACCATTCCTTATGTATAGAAACAACTTTTGGAATGATGGAGTTGATCGATTTGTCGAGTCGGCCTATAGCGCTTGATATCATGAGTTCTCTTTAAACTGAGTCGAGGGCGATGACATGTCAGCGGCAGAATCTTTGCTCGTGGTAAACAACATTCTTGAAACGGAATGAAAATCATGAGATTGCTGAAATGCCAACATCATTGCAACGTCAATGTTTTTTCTCTCTGTTTTTTTTTCTTGTTTGATGAAGCTCTGCCGAAGCGATTAACAGTGTGCTGGAGCGTAGCATGTCGACAACGTGTTTCCTTGAGTCTGTCTCTTCTAATCAATAACGTCCAGTGTACATGTATTTTGGAATTATCATGAAGCCACTATACATTATTCGAATAGTGAAAGTAGTCGTGACAGATTGCAAGAGTATTATGCAAGAGAATACAACGCTAGGTGCATTTTTAATGCTAGGAAGCATTGTGTAGACAAAGAATCACCGTGATTGCGATTAGCCGTCGACCATAATTAGGGGCCGTATAATACGTCCGACGCCTCATAGGTCCGACGCCTCATAGGTCCGACGCCTCATAAGTCCGAAATTTCGGAATTATGAGGCGTCGGACTTATGAGGCATAAATTCCGCCTCATAGTTCCGACGCTTCATAAGTCCGATGCCTCATATGTCCGACAATGGACTAACGCTGTTTCGGACTTATGAGGCGTCGGACTTATGAGGCGTCCGACCTATGAGGCGCAATAAATAAAATGCCATGCCTCATAAGTCCGATGCCTCATAAGTCCGACGCCTCATAAGTCCGAAATTAATGAGGCGTCGGACCTATGAGGAGTCGGACTTAATGAGCGGACCCAATTCATTTCGGCACTCACTGGTTATGATTCTTCTAGATTTGTCATACACCAGCTCTGTAATGAGGAAAACTGAGTCATTTGTATAGTTCCAATTTAATCAGGTGGGAAATCTCTGCAATGATAGAGTATGCGTTCACTTTTGGTAGCCCATGGATAACACGGCATTCAATCAAACCTGGCCCTTTCTTGTGACATTGAAGTAAGGAGTTCATTTTCAGAGAGCCAGTTATTTACGCTCGTAGATTGTAGTCTGGCGCCGTTCTTGTTTGCAGTTTTCTGTTTGGAAATTTTTTTTATCCCATGCTCACGGCCTTCTAAAAATGTGAATTAAAAAAGTAAATAGTGAACTTGATTCCTAAAATGGAAGTTTTCGATTCATCGTACTTTTTTAAGAGGAGATGACAAAGTGTGCAGTTTTTTTGGATATTGGTATGCGTTGGCTGTTTTTCGTCAAACCAAGTAAGATATTTTGTTGATCTTTCAAAATTCATTAATGCAAGAATATGCCCTTCTTTAAAGCTTTCCTGGGGAAGCTTTAAGTTAATTCTCCAATTTTGTTGAAGGGCAAGAGTTGCATAAATCTGCCAAATTCCGTTGAGTGTCTTTTTTAAAAAGGTGTCATTTATTTCTGTTATGTACATGTCTTTTCCAACCGGATATTGTTTAAAACAAAAAAGACTCGCATGTACGTGCCGGTTATTCATTGCTTTACATTTTACTATTTTGAGTATAAAGAGTAACTTTTTACGTATAAAGCAGCAGCCTCGTTCTCAGTGTCTACTTTTTTTCCAACCGTGTTATCAAAAGTCGACCCTGGATTCTTAATTTTCATCATGATGTGTAGGCCTCTTTTTTACTATGACTAATTGGCCTTAAAAATGATTCTCCCTTTCCATTTTGCTTGTTATCGTTGTAAATGAAAAAATACAAGCTGAAGGGGTGTGACTATTGCACTTCTACTTTGAAAACATTATATACTCCGATCCGCCGTCACGAGGATTTGCGCCCGTAGACAACACATTACTATTCCGCACCTGATCATATCCAAGAGTTTAAGTATGCAAATGATCCGGGCGAGAGAGCAGCTAGTGATAGCATACTATTCGAAGCCTTTGGGACGAGGTTGTTAAAAGGACCGACTCAAATTACAGTGCGGTAGCAACAGGTTATCAGCGAGGGGCCGTTTTGTTGCCGGGCATTATGGGAAATAAGTCGACATCCGTTTGCGAAACTATTACTCTTTATTTGTTTGTTTATTTATTTGTTTGTTTATTTTTTTTTTAGCTTTGGTATTTCTTTTGGGTTTGTTTTTGTTTGTGTTTTTTTGTTCGTGTGTGATGCAAGTTGGAATTCTATTTGTAAATGATGATGAGATTACTAGTTTGTTCAGGTCCCAATGCATGCCGGAGAAAACGCAGACAAATAAAACGCAGGACGTTGATCGTGAAATAGAATAATGACATCTTCGCGGCAACCCCAGGTGGCGAACTGCAATTGAAATGCCTCGAATTAAAATGGTTTAAATATTCCCCGTGTTTTTGAACGCACATGAAATATTAGAGTTTCATAAGACTGACCATCTCCCGCTCGTATCATTTTCAAATCACACTTTTTGTAGCTCCTTGGGTGATTTTTAAAATCGATTTTTTTTTTTACAAGAACTGGCAGAAGTTCTATTCTTAGATGTGCATTTGGCAGTCCGTAAGAAACCCAATACTTTAAATATCCGTTTTTGGTTCAGAATGAATTAATACCTGTCCATGGTTCGTGACATCGCATCAGGAGCCTGCAATTTGGTCCATAAAGAGCCGCCACCTGATCAACTCTTCTGCTTTGCAGAGGAAACCTTGCATGCAAC